GACTATCTTGTTGATGTTTGTGAGATCATGTGTCACTTTACAGATAGAGCGAGACACGAATGGGATGTTGCAGTGTCATCCTTACTCAAATGAGTATGTAGATATATCCAAACAGTTCCCACATTGTGCTTTCTTCATGGGCTTTCAGAGGAAAGAGGGAATGAATAGTCAGCAAGGTCAGCAATTTGATACACGCGGGACAGCGGAAGAGTTCAGGCAAGAGATTCATGGGTATGTGTTCTGGAAACCAGGAATGGAAATTTTTGTTTCTCATGTTCGGAGGAAGCAGCTTCCTGCATTTGTTTTTCCTGATGGGTATAAACGACCTCGATCATCGAGTCCTCTAGGCCAGCAGGGTGGAAGAACCTCTGAAGATGTTACACAGTGTCGGTCTGGTTCTGCAGAGAGATAGATTAAGAGAGAGCAGGATGATGTTTTAGTAGATTCTAAACCAGAGAAGCGGGCCTCTGTCTGCCCCCAGAGGCTTGAGGTTGTTTCTCCAGAAAGTAATACAAGTATGTCTGGTGGAAGATCTCATGTTAGTTTTGGTGAAGCAGCTAAATTAGAATGCGCAACAAATGGGGATGTTGATTGCAATTCTGTGGTTAGGTCACTTACTGGGCAAGTAGACAGTTGGAAATTAGCATCCTCAAGATTACATGTGAAGCCATAGAACTTTATATATATATATATATATAAAATAATTGAAATAATATCTTAAAAATAAATAAGAAACTGCACGAGTTTCTTGCCCTGAGTTACAAAATTTATAAAAATTAAAACAAAACATTAAAAACCATATTTATACTAAATAAAGCTTTATTGTCTTTCATTGTTTTAAATATACCTGAAAGCTGAAACAGGGAAACCTCACATAATCATTTTTGCTGATTTTGCTTCTACTTACGTGACAAGTGAAACATTTAACCACTTAAATAATTTAGTGATAATTTTCTTTTCTTAAAAATAAGAAGTTTTGAGTTCGAACCAAGTGACATGCAATTGAAATAAATTAAGGAATGAGAAAGAGAGGATTGCATGAGTGCCATGGGTCAACAGACGCTATAGACCAAGTAGCCATCATCTTCCTCTGATCCTCTCCTAATCTCCTTGTAACTTGATATGTAAGTGGGGTTGCGAAGAAGGGGAGCAACATCAACTTCCCTTCCTGATTTCTTCACTTCAAAAATTTCTTGCGGACCACAACGTTGAAGTAAATGCTGAACTTCCTTCATGGAAGGCCTTGAAGATGGTAAAGTGCTTGTACATGCAAGCCCCAGCTTGCACACTGTAGTCATCTCGTCCGAGTAACATGGATCGTTAATCTCCAGATCAAACAATTCAACCAAAGGCCTTTCCTCTGAGTAACGCTGCCATGCCTATTCTGCAAGGCTTGTGTTCTCATTTTCTCTTTTATCTTCTCTTCTTGTCACCAACTCCAAACGTACCACGCCAAAGCTATAGACATCAATCTTTTCATTCACCTTTGTTGTATAGGCATATTCTGCAAACATGATAACTTTACATCAGAACAATGCCTAAATGGATTCGATCCAAGATCACAATATAAGTTTATTGTGTGGTCATACCTGGGGCGAGATAACCAAAAGATCCTGCAACTGCAGACATGGTGTGAGGCTCCTCTTGCCTAGTTATCATTTTCGCAAGTCCAAAATCTGCAATCCTTGCCTTGAATTCTGAATCCAAGAGAATATTGGACTTGACATCGCAATGAATGATGGGTGGAGAGTATTAGAGAACAAATCAAGTGCAGTAATCAAGTAAATCAAGGCGTGAAGATCGAAGAGATTCAAGGACATGAGCAAGGAGAAAATTAAGGAGAGCAGTATAAAGGAAGAAATCAATCAAGTTAGCAACAATAAAGAGAATAATAAGGCTGCAAAAAATAAGGAGAATGTGGAAACAAACAGAGCAATTCAAGGGAAGAATCCAAACTGAAATACAAGGAAAGAATCCTAGAATAATCTCAATATGACCATTGGTCACTCAATGTACTCTGCATCTTCTGCATTTAGTTTGATAGCAATGATTCCCAAAATCATGCCATAATGTAAGATGTTGTAAATATTATAAATTATGCAAATATCTCTTTGTCTCCTCACCTTGAGAGAAACTTTATAGATCAAAGTGTCAAAACGTCCCTATCTGGCCACACTGAATGTAGCCAATTTTGTTTCTCTTCAACTCACTTCAGATAATTATGTGCTTTGGAGAACCCAAATGATGGCTCTAATTGAAAGTCAAGAGCTATTGGGGTTTATTGATGGTGAGTATGAAATGCTTGATCCAAAGGTACTTTCAAATGAGAAGGAAGTACCAAATCCAACTTATGTAGCTTGGAGATGGTCTGATCGTCTTCTTCGTGGGTGGATCATCGGTACCTTATCTAAAGAGGTACTTGGAATTGCTGTTGGACTCAATACTTCATCAGAAGTTTGGAAGGCATTGGAGGACCATTTTGTTCAAAGCTCTCAAGAAGAGAATTTCACTTAATGCAAGAGATTTCAAGTATCCAAAAGGGTGATGACACTCTAAGTGGGTACATCAGAAAGTACAAAGCCCTTTGTGATGAACTCTCCACACATGGTAAGATGATTCTTGATAAAAACAAAGTTTTTTGGTTTTTGCAAGGTTTAGGACCAAGTTATGAAAATTTTGTTACAACCATGCTTAAACCACCTATTCTGTCATACAAAGAACTTATTCCTCTTGTAAAAAGCCATGATTCTCGTATCGTCATTATAATCCTTTACCTCCACAAATGGCCTTCCTTACCTAAAAGACTGAACAAAGGAATTATTACAAAAAGAAAGGAAATGGCCATAATTGGTTCAACTCTAGAGGGAAAGGTTTTATTCAAACTAGTATTGACAACAAGCCCAGAGCTAGTTTTAAGTTGAATGCAGGGAATCTGGGAAGCATTGAGACTAAAGCTACTGCCAATAAACCTGATGTGGTTTGTCAAATCTGCAATAAACATGGACATGCTACTCTCAAGTGTTTCAATCACTTCAACCATGCATTTCAAGCAGATGACATCCCTCAAGCCTTAGTTACAATGACTATCAATCAAAATGATGTTGCTGAGTGGTATCCTGATACTGGAGCAAAAGCTCACATGACTAGTAACTTTAGTAAGCTTATAAATTTAAAACCATATAAAGGTAATGATGGTGTAATGGTTGGGAATGGCGAGACTTTAAATATAACACATGTTGGTGATTCCCATATAAATCGTGGTGAACATAATATTCCTCTTAAAAATGTGCTTCTAGTTCCTCATAAAAAGGACTTATTATTTGTTAGTCAACTGACTTATGATTTACCATGCAATTTTGAGTTTGATGATGGTGGATTTGTTATTAGGGACAAATACTCAAAAAGAATAGTAGCAAACGGCACAAGGAAAGGAGGACTATATGCACTTAGTGATGGATATACAACACTCTTCTCAACTTGCTTTAGGAGGACCAATAAAGAAGGGTGGCACCAACGATTGGGGCACCCTCAATATCGCATTGTTGATTTTCTTTTTCAAAATAAATTTATTGATTTCAATTCTATTGGAGATTCAAATGAGTTATGTGATAGTTGCCAAATGGGAAAAACATGTAGACTCCCTTTTCTAAAATCAAAGGATATATATGATGAACCTTTTCAAAAAATTAACTGTGATCTTTAGGGACCATCACCTTTCAAGTCTAGTGAAGGCTTTTGTTATTATGTTGTCTTTGTAGATAGCTATACTCAATTCTCTTCGTTTTATCCTATGAAAAAAAAATCTGACTTTTTAGAATGTTTTAATCATTTCCATAAATATATTGATTGTCAATTTGGTATGAAAATAAAAATCCTTCAAAAAGATGAAGGAGGAGAATTTTCTAGTACCAATCTTTTATAACTCTTAGCCAATTTGGGAATTCGTCATCAATCTGCTTGTCCTGAGACACCATAACAAAATAGCTTAGTTGAATGCAAGCATATGAATATAACAGAATTAGGCCTAACCATGATGTTTCATGCTAAGTTGCTTGCAAAATTTTGGGCTAACTCCTTTTCTACTGCTATTTTTTTAATAAACAGGTTGCCATCTCCAAGCCTTAACATGGACTCCCCATTTTTTAGGCTATATGGACAGCACCCAAACTACTCCTCATTGTGTGTCTTAGGATGCAAATGCTTCCCATACCTTGGAGACTACCGAGGAACTAAATTTGACCTAAAATCAGTTCCTTGTGTTTTTATGGGATATAATATCAAGCACAAAGGATACAAGTGCTTCTCGCCATCAACCGGGAGGACATATGTGTCTAGATATGTGGTTTTTGATGAAATGTTCTTTCCTTTTGTAGATCCAAATGCTTTATATGGCAAGGAATTGGTTGGAGGAGAAATTACAAATTTTAATCAATGGTTTGACTTTAAAGATATTGACATCACCTCTACTTCTATTGTAGAAAATACAAAATTTATGGAAACTACGAGGTCTAGAGCATGCATGAGTTCTACTTCACAACAAAATGCCATTACTCTTGATTTTTCTTTGACCATTGATTCGGCCGACCAACATACATTAGCACAAGTCCATGCAGCATCGTGTATTGCTAATGCTATGCACCAAGATACTAATGGACCAAGTCAAGGGAATGCTGCACCAGAATAGTGCTTGGACCCACCATTGTCCCTAGCTTAAGATACAAGCCTAGTAGAAAATAATCATAGCACCCGCCTTCAACACATGATTACAAGGTCCCAAAAAGGAATCTACAAGCCAAATCCTAAGTACATATTTCTTCACGTTGGAACAAAGGCTTTAAACATTCCTATTGAACCCAAGTCCGTGAAATCAGCCTTGAAGCATCTGGTTGGACGAAGCTATGCATGACAAGTTGACTGCATTAAAAGAACATACGTGGGATCTTGTACCTCACACAGAAGACATGAATGTTATAGGGTGTAAATGGGTGTTTAAGACAAAGCTGCAAGCTGATGGGAACCTAGACAAGTTAAAAGCTCGGTTGGTCGCAAAAGGTTTTCATCAGGTTGATGGTATAGACTTTTCTAAAACCTTCTCTCTAGTTGTGAAGCCTAGTAGCATCCAGACGGTACTCACCATTGCCACGGTAAAGAATTGGAGTATTTGACAACTTGATGTTAAAAATGCCTTCTTACATGTAAACCTATCCGAATGAGTCTTTATGGAACAACCACTGGGCTTTACCGATGAACAATACCCTTTACATGGTTGTTATCTTCGAAAAGCATTTTACGGCTTAAAACAAGCTCCTCGAGCTTGGTTTGATAGGTTGAGTATATTTCTTTGAGAATTGGGTTTCTCTTGTAGCACTTGATGCACCAAATACGCACTACTTTTAGGCAAGTGAAGCTAATCGATTATGCAACATAAGATGAGTAAGATATCGTTCCCTCGAGGACTATCCTACACTACCAAGACACTATTAATCTAACTTAAGTTGAATCAACCAATTAATGGGGGAAACTAAACTATTTAAAAGAGAACTAAGTAAACTAAGGAAATTAAACTAAAGAATTTTCTAAATTAAAGAAACTATGAATGAGAAGGAACTAGGGTTTGGATTTCATTTAATTCTGAATTATACAACTGTTTTATTAATTTAATTCAAGTTCAAATAATAGTGTTATTGCATGAGATGGCGGATTTTCCTAAATTAATTAACCAGCTTTCTCAAGTCAAGCTAATCCTTCATTTGTTTGCTAAATTAATCATATCTCTATGTAATTTTAAACAAATTAATGAGCATTAAATTCTATGGAAACCTCTAGCTTAAGAAGGGGAGCTACTAACTCTCTTCTCTTCCTCTTCCTCCACTACCACATGTGAGCTAATTACTTCTCGGTCTCATAGTCTAGTACACAGTTTATATTATTATTGGTCTAATCTATGCAATTCTTTCTCAAGTTCATGCATAAATCACTAAATCAATTGAAAGGTGATCAGGCTCTCAATGCATTAAACTCAATAATATAAACTCATCATGCAAATAACCAATAAATCTTGAATTAAACTAACAAAAACAGTCACATATTCCAAAAATTAAAATCCATCCATCCCTAATTCAAAGAAATTTAGCTATGCATGATTATGTTGTCAACAGCAACCATAATTCGGTAATTCTAGCAGGCAATCATGATAAAAAAAATTCAAATTAAGAATCAACAACACCCGTCCAATGAAGAACAAGCCAAACATGTGCTGCTGTCCCTCCCTAACAAAGCTGGTTGAGAAGAACAGAGGTTGTCGGCGGCGTTGGCTCTTTCATGAACAGATCTGGGTGGGCGTTCTCCCTTCTGCTGGTGAACAGATTTTCGGGGCTTCTTCTCCTTGTTCAGATGCGAACTGATTGGGTATTACGTGTTGGTGTCCTCTTCTTCTACTGGTGAACAACAGATGCGGGTGGCTGGGCGGCTGGGTGCTCTTGACCTCTTGTGCAGAACAATTTCATGCGTCTCTAGGGCTGCTCTCCATTCTGCCGAGTCGCGTATATATATATTGAGAAATTAGAAACCCTTATTTCTTTTAACCGTAGTAGACATGGGTTATGGGCTTTATTTTAGGTCTGGACTGCAGTTGGCCCACACCTAGAAAACACAGCCCAATTCTCTTTATTTCTGCACTCTGTCCATTGTCAAAACCATCAACTTCAACTTAAATTCTGTATTGATACATAAGGAAATGGGTTGAGCTCATAAAACATCAATTGTAGCTCTGCTTCTTAGCTTTCCAACGCCTAAAGAATCAACTCAATCTGATACCTAGAGAAAAAGATATGGTTAAATTACTGCAGTATGTGTAAATTGTCACTTATTGCAAAATTAATTCCTATCTTAATTTCCACCTACAAATATAGAATTTAATATAAACAAAGGTGAAATTAAGTTACAAAAGATCCATAAAATTTAATTCTAGGCTCAAAAAGGGTAGATAAATGCATATAAAAATTAAACTCATTTGCACTGCAGATCCTTCCCTATTTACATACCCTAATCACCAAGTTATGCTTCTTCTACTTATATATGTTAATGATGTGATCCTAACTGGAAGCAATTTAACCCTTGTTGAATGGTGTATCAATGAACTAGCAAGAGAACTTGCTATCAAGGATCTTGGGCATTTACAGTATTTTCTTGGAATTGAAGTACATACTAACAAATTTGGACTTTTTCTTTGTCAATCTAAATATGCTCATGAGTTGCTTCAAAAAGGCTCAAATGGTAGGGTGTAAAGCCATCTCTACACCTATGGCCATAAAGACTCATTCATCTTAGCAATGCGTGCTTTCCAAAATCCTACCTTTTATCGAAGCATCGTTGGAGGTTTGCAATACCTCACTTTTACTAGACTTGATCTTTCATTTGCAGTAAATCATAACTCATAGTTTATGCATGCCCTTACTCTAGAGCATTTTCAAGTAGTTAAACACATTTTACGATATCTTGAAAGCACACTTGGTTATGGGATGCGTATTTCTAATCAAAGCACACTAGAATTATATGCATTTTCAGATGCCAACTGGGTTGGTTGTCCATTAACTAGAAGGTCTACCATTGGCTTTTGCACCTTCTTGAGTAGCAACTGCATTTGTTGGTGTGCAAAAAAGTAGCCTACTGTAGCAAGATTAAGCACTAAAGTCGAATATCGCTCTATGGCATCTATAGTAGTTGAACTCACTTGGCTTGCTAAGCTACTTGCTGATATTGGTTTGCAACCTCTAACCCTCCTATTCTTCACTGTGATAACTTAAGTGCTTTGTATATGACTATTAATCCAATTTTTCATGCTAGAACAAAACATATTGAAATTGATTATCATTTTTGTACGAGAAAAGGTTGCATTGGGAAATCTCATCACTCGTTTTGTTAAGTTTGAATCACAATTAGCACACTTATTCAATAAACCTTTGCCTAGAAATTGTTTTAAACAGCTGTGTCAAACTTGGCCTTTACTTTATACCACGGCCTAGTTTGAGGGGGAGTATTGGAGAACAAATCAAGTGCAGCAATCAAGTAAATCAAGGCCTGAAGATCGAAGAGATTCAAGGACATGAGCACAAGTAAAAAATCAAGGAGAGTGGTATAAAGGAAGAAATCAATCAAGTTTGCAACAATAAAGAGAATAATAAGGCTACCAAAATAACGAGAATGTGGAAACAAACAGAGCAATTTAAGGGAAGAATCCAAACTGAAATACAAGGAAAGAATCCCAGAATAATCTCAATATGACCATTGTTCACTCAATGTACTCTGCATCTTCTGCATTTAGTTCAATAGCAATGATTCCCAAAATCATGCTATAATGTAAGATGTTGTAAATATTATAAATTATGCAAATATCTCTTTCTCTCCTCACCTCGAGAGAAACTTTACAGATCAAAGTGTCAAAAAACGTTTTTAAAGAGCAGTCATGGTGCATGTAGCAAAGTCCCTGAGCAGCTCCAACTACAATTTGCAACCTCCTGGGCCAGTCTAAGACATAATTGATCCCAGTCCAAGACAGAACTGATCCCAGTCCAGGATAGAACTGATCGCAGTCTCAGAACTTGTTCTTCTTTTCTTCCAATGAAGCCACCTATACAAGCTCTCATTCTCCATGTACTCATACACCAGAAGATTTGAATTCTCACTCAAAATGCAGCACAACAGCTTCATTATGTTGGCATGATGAATGCTGCCTAGAATTTCAACCTCTGCTTGGAACTCTTTCTCCAGCTTATGATCCAGTTTCTGTTTATTCTAAATCCCCTTCACTGCTACAAATCCATCGGACCCATTAATGCCAATCTTGTAGACTTTTCCAAACCCACCACTTCCAATCAAATTATTATCAGTCAAACTGGACAAGATATTCACTTCCGTGAAATCCAATCCCTGGAACGGAGTTAGCTTCCATGTTGCAAGATATTTTTTCTTGTGGTAGTCTCTGAACTTGAACAGGGTGAATATAATAGTAACAATGGTGACTGATAGCAAAAAGAATTAAAGGAAATTGATTGTTTTCTTCCTTGAATAACATTGTACAATGATTCGATGTATATATATATATATATATATATATATATATTTACATGTAATAGTTTAGATCCTAAATTAGTGCCTAGTATTAATCAATACTGCCATTGCTATACATTCTGACTGTTGCAGCTATTGCTCCTTGGATCAGTCTTTGATTGCTTTAATATGGTTTCCTGCTTTGACATAATTTCCTTATCTATTGTGATTATTTCCTTACTCATCCTCTGCTATGATTTTGCCTTCATAGTGACAACGACAACAAGAGCCAGAATCAGAGGGAGATATTTAGAGGACAGGTTTTGGGGTTGGTGAAGTGTGGAACTACAATCTAGAAGATTTAGGATTGGGTTGTCTGCACAAAGGTGGGAATTGTTCAAGAAACTGTTTTTATAAGCAAGGCTGTCAAACTCATCAGGGATTTTTCTAGAAGGTTTGTTGGATGATAAATTGAGGGAAGTAAGTCTCAGGTTGCCAATTTTAGTTGGGATTTTCCCAGAAAATTGGTTCTCTGATAAATCAAGATTAACCAGGTCAGGTAAAGACCCAACTACTACCGAACTTTAATTGATAAGTTTGTTATCGGATAGGTCCAAGGTGGTCAACGATGTCCAAGAGACCATATTCTATAGCAATTTGTTGGAAATAGAAAAGAAGAAGAATAATTTGAAGAAAGGTTTATTGCTTTCTTAAATAATACTGTATGTACAATGACCTATATATAGGTGTTTACAAAGAGAATATTCTTAGGTATAAAATATACAAAGAGAATATTGTAAAGTATAAAATATTTACAATAATTATAAATATAAGTGTGTTCACATCTTAGCATCCCCCCTCAAACTAAAGGTGGTTGTGATGAAACCAACTTGAGTTTGGAAAGAAGAGTACGAAAGCGTCCAGGAAAATGAGCCTTGGTAAAGAGGTCTACTAGTTGATCAGCAAAGGCAATGAAAACCAAATGAATAGTTCCTTGCGTAACATGATGGTGAACAAAGTGACAATCAACCTCAATGTATTTAGTGCGTTAATGGAAGACATCATTATGAGCAATCTGCATAGCACTTTGATTATCACAATATAAATCAGTAAAAGAAGGTTAAGGAATGCCCATATCTTCAAGAAGCCACCATAATGAAAGAAGTTCTGATGTGGTATCACCAAGAGCTCTATACTCAGCTTCAGTATTAGAGCAAGATGGAATAGTTTGTTTCTTACTCCGTCAAGAGATAAGAGAATTACCAAGGAAAAAACAGTAGCCAGTGATAGATCGGCGATCAAAAGGATCACCGGCCCAATCAGCATTGGAGTAAGCGCGTAGCACAAGGTTGGAGTTGGCAAAAAAATGGAGTCCATGAAATAATGTTCCTTTAACATAGCAAATAATGTGAAGTACTGTTGCATAATGAGTGGAGCGAGGAGCAGCCATAAACTGACCAACAATGTGAACTACATATGCTATATCAGGGCGTATTGTGATAAGATAAACCAAACTACCAACCAATTGCCGATAATGAGTAGGATCGGAAAGTGGAGAGCCATCCATAGGTGTAAGCTTGACATTAGGTTCAAGAAGTGAAGAAACACTCTTACCATCATTGAGTTCAGCTTTAGAAACAAGATCGAAGGCATACTTTACTTGAGAAAGCAAGTAGTTGTCATCTGAAGAGGTGACTTCAAGCCCCAGGAAATAGCTCAAAACACCAAGATCTTTCATCTCAAATTTTTGACAGAGGGATTGTTTTAGCTCTTCAACACCTGCGACATTATCTCCAATAATAATCATGTTGTCAACATAAAGAAGTAAAAGAACCATACGTCGAGCAATCTTACGAATGAACAGAGCTGTATCATGTGGATTGGAAGTGAAACCAAACTCACTCACAGTAGCACTAAACTTGGCATACCAGACTCAAGGGGATTGCTTCGACTCGTATCATGCACGTCGCAATTGGCATACCTTGTTTGGAGAATGGTTGAGCCCAGGAGGTGGTTTCATATTAACTTCTTCTTCTAGGTCACCATTAAGAAAAGCATTTTTCACATCCATCTGAAACAATTTCCATCTTCGTATAGCAACGATAGCAAGTAAACTACGCACAGATGTGAGACGAGCAACTGGAGCAAATGTTTCCTCATAGTCTATTCCATACTTCTGTGTAAAACCCTTGGCAACCAATGCTCCACAAAACCATCAGATCTTGTTTTGATCTTGTATATCCATTTACAGCCTATTAGAGACTTTTTAGTAGGGAGAACAACTAAATCCCATGAACAAGTGTTCTCAAGAGCCTGTAATTCGTCTTGCATAGCTTGCTGCCAAAGAGGGTTAGAAGAGGCCTCTTGATAGGATTGAGGCTTATGTAAAGAAGTAATAGTAGGAAAACAATGATAATCACAAAGGTAGCTAGGAGGGTTTCTTACTTGAGTAGGATGGCTCGAGGATGGGACAACAAGCTCATTTGTAGACTCAACAATATCATATGCAACATCAATAGGTGATACAAATGAAGAAGTAGATGAAGGCTCAAAATTATCTAACGCTTTACTAGTAGGCAGGTCATCTTCTATAGAACTAGTTGGAGCATGTGGTGTGGCATTGTAGAGCTCATCAGATGTACTTACATTAGAATCACTAGGAAATAGCTCAATAGAAAGATTAGTAAAAAATGGAGGTTGATGAGAGGATGACACTTTGAAGTTTGACAACGATGAAAACATAGTGTGTTTCCAAAAGACAACATGACGTGAAACTCGGAGTTTTTGTGACACAAGATCCCAACAACAATATCCTTTTTGTGTAATCCCATAACCCAAAAAATAGCATAATTGAGCTCTAGGGTCTAACTTGTTATGTTCATGAGGTGGAAGAAGAACAAAACATGCACAACCAAAAACCTTAAGAAGATTATAGGTAGGAAGAATTCCATGTAAACACTCGTATGGAGACTGGTTATCAAGGACTGATGATGGAATGCGATTAACAAGATAAACAACTGTAAGAGTAGCTTCACCCCAAAATCGCTCTGGACAAGATGATGAGATGAGCAAAGCACAAACAGAATCAAGGATGTGTCTGTGTTTGCGTTCGACTTGCCCATTTTGTTCAGAAGTGTAAGGACAAGAAGTGTAAGGACAAGATTGTTGTGTCAATGTACCCTGTTCTTTCATAAAGGACTGAAGTTTTGGACCAAGATATTCAGTAGCATTATCAGTTCTCAAAACTTTGATAATTTTAGGGAACTGAGTTTTGATCATGGTAGCATAATCAATATAAATTTGTGATAATTCAAAGTGATTTTTCATAAGGTATATCTAGGTAAAACGAGTATGATCATCAATAAATAACACGAAGTACCTAGAACCCCACATTGTGGGTGTAGGAGATGGACCTCAAACATCAGAATGCATGAGATCAAAAGGAGCAGTAGAATGAGAATGACTACTCGAAAAAGATAAAGTTGGTTGCTTTGTAGATTGACATGACACACAATGCAAGGATTCATCCGAAACTGACCCTAATAAACCACGAGAGATAAGTGGACGAAGTTTACCAACAAAGGTATGTCCAAGCCGTGAGTGCCACAAATGGAGAGGAGAAACATTATTAGCAATACAAGCTTGCAAAATTTGTTGGTATGGAATTTGTAGAGACTCTAATTCAACAGCACAAAGCAAGGTTTGGATGAATCGATCATTTGGAAATGATGGTGTATCCATTTTATTATCAGGAATATGCAGATAGTTGAGCTCAAAAAAATGCCTCACCTTGTGACCATTGCCAAGAAGTTGTCCTGTCCGTGGGTCTTACACACGACAACCATGGGTAGAAAATGTTACTTCAAGACCAAGATCACATAATTGACCGACAGATAAAAAATTATAACTAAGTTTTGAAACTGAGAGGGCATTTGGTAAAGTTAATGACTTTGTAGAAATATTGCCAACGTGGACTAACATTCGTAGGGGAACCATTAGTAAAATAAATATCTGGAAAGGAATTATTTGGTGACATTGAAGAGAAATGCGCAGTAATTAAAGACACATGGTTACAACAACCAAAATCAAAATACCAAAGTTTGGTACCTAGAGCAGTAGATGATGCAGTAGGGGCATTAAAAAGATTTAATATCACCTATTTTAGGGATTCAACTCATTCAAGATTGACATTAGGTTGGTCTATCACTTCTTTGGCAACCATAGCAGTAGCATGATGAGTTACAATTATTTCAAAACTCGCCATAGAATCAGTAAAACTCATAATACTAAAAAACTTTAAAAAATATGACGAAATAGATGCCAAGATTGAAATGATAAACTAACAAAATACCTCAAAAAGTGCCTGAGAATCGAGGATAAACAATCTCATCTATAGGAGAAGAGATCCCAATGATAAAGTTTCATATCTGAAATAGACTTGAAAATCCAACTTCAAAAACCCAATAACGATGATAAGAGAAAAGAACCAGAAGCTTATAGCACTGATACCATGTTGGAAACGAAAAAGAAGAATAATAATTTGAAGAAAGGTTTATTGCTTTCTTGAATAATACTATATGTATAATGATTTATATATAGGTGTTTACAAAGAGAATATTTTAAGATATAAAGTATAAAAGGGGAATATTTTAAAATATAAAATATTTATAATAATTATAAATATAATTGTGTTCACATGTTAACACAATTCACCGGATAGTTGATTATCATCGAGGAGGAGGGTAGTAAGGTTAGAAAGATATGTTATCTCCTTTGGAATTTCACCGGATAAGAGATTGTTGCTCGCCTTGAAGACTGTCAAATTTGATCAAGAACCAATCCCGGATGGGATTTGGCCAGTAAATTTGTTGTCGCTGATTTCCACCTTGGTCAGATTCTATGCTAGTTTGCTTGGCAATTCCCCCGAAAACAAATTGTTACTCAATATCAAGCTTTCTAAATTGAAAGTCGTCCAGAGACCCGGAGGAATCTCACCTGAAAAGTGGTTGTTCTGAAGCTGAACGGTTCGGAGGGTGCTGCAATTTCCAAGCGACGCCGGTATTCGCCCGCTGAGGTTGTTTGAAAATGCAACCACTCCCTGTAGAACACGACCTGCGCATAAATTTTGCGGTAGTTGGCCAGTGAATTGATTGGTGCACACCTCAAAACCTTCGAGCTTTGAGTGGAGGCCAAACTCTGGCGGCAATATTCCACTCAAACTATTGTTACAAATCCGGAAAATCTTCAAGGCCGGAAGTCGACTCAAACCGACCGGCACCTCCCCTGTTAACTGATTCGAAGACAGAACAAAGAACACCAGATTCTGCATCTTCCCAAATTCCTCCGGTATGGTGCCCGACAAATTATTCACGCTAAGATCAATTTCTACCAAATTTAAAGCTTCCACCGCTCTGGGTATCTCGCCGGATAGTATGTTGCTGAAGAGATACAAAATGGTCAGATTCTTCAGCATGAGAAGCCTGCCAGGAATCGAGCCTTCCAACTTGTTCTCCGCCAAATCCAACCACTCCAGACTGGACAGGTCGGCGATGCCTTCAGGAATTTCGCCGATTAAATTTGTCTCCCTCATCCATAAGTACTTCAGTTTCTTCAATTGACTGAACCTATCAGGTATCTTCATGGGCGCAAACCAATTATAGGCCATAGCCAGATGCTCAAGATTGGATAGGTTTCCGATTTCCTCCGGAAAAGTGGCATTGTGGAACTTATTCCCGTCAAGATGGAGTTCTCGTAACTCAGGTAATCGGCCAATACTGGACGGAATGTCACCGAAAAAATTGTTGGCACTGACGTCTAAGTAAAGCAGAGTCGATAACCGTTCAATATCGTCGGGAATGGGGCCGACAAAGTAGTTCATGGAGAGGTCTAAGTACTGGAGCTTGGAGCAATTGTACAGCAGTTTTGGGAACTCACCGGGGATATAATTGTAGGACAGATCAAGGACATTGAGGTTCCTAAGGTCACAGATTGTTGGTGGGATTTTGACCTTAATGTTCATATTGCCGAGCGAAACGGCGGTGACAGAACCTTGAGTGCAGTTGATTCCCGTCCAAGAACACGGTGAGGATGAGGCATTCCATGACTGAATCGCCGGTGGATTACCCAGCTGTTGCTTTACTTTGAGAAGAATTGTACGTTCTGTCTCAATGCTTTGTGAAATTACATTGAAGGGTATGAAGATGAGGAAGAAAAGGGAAAGAAGGGGTTGTAATTTGGGAAAACATATGGATAGTTTGGTCATTTGAGTGCTTGGGTAGTTATTCCGCTTGGGGAACTCACCGGGAAATTAATATGATCCGCACTTTGCAGACGGAGCTCCTCATCGTGTTATATAGGCACTAAGTTAGGTTTCCTTCTTTAAAATGTCACTGGTATTCCATTTAATTACGAACGTGCCACTGAGTCACTGAGTCAGATCTGGAATCCTTAGTTTGGACTTTGGACGGATTTATTTTAATTCGCACTTTTAATTATTATCAAATGGGTCCTACTTGGGTTGTTCAGCTTCACAATTAGTAATAATTCCACTAGAGATTGGTGGAATTGTTTAAAAGGTAAAAAAGACTTTTTTGGATAAAAGAATAAAGTGTCGTAACCTAATCTAGGTTAGGATTAGCAAAATTAACAAATAAGAAATTATAGTATAATTTGAATTATAAAATAAAAAATTCATTAAAAATGATATTGGAAAACAAAATCTTGTTGTAATTACTGTGAAATGTTCGTTAGAACTTGCTATTAATATGACCTCAAATTCTGCAAGTATTTTTATTGTTCCCAATTTATGGTTCACATGATGAAACAAAGTTGAACTAACTAAAGCTAATTGAGTTTTTCTATGCTAATTGAAAAGCTTAATTTTAGTGTAATATTAGGATTTCAAATATTTATTGTATAAAAATGTTTTTATTTTTATTTTAGAATAAGAAAAAAAAATTATGACATCTTGATATTAAAAATGTCATAACATCTAATAATACTCATATAATGAATTTGATAAAATTAAGACTCACACATTTAACGATTGTGATTAGATATCCCGATATTTTTAATATTAGGACATTCTAATTTTTCTTTTTCTCTTAAGAATAATAGTCAACTTTTTATTAAAAATTTGTTACAAATTA